TAAATACACTACTATTGCAAGAATCTTATGATATGATGTAAATCTGTAATAATAAAGCATTTTGTTAATAGAAATAAATGTACATGCCAAAAGATCTGGCTTTATAAAATATATTATACTTATCGATATATCCTTAAGAGAAATAGACATATATAAACAAAGCATACATAAACAAAGAAATTTAGCTGCAACTGTTATGAGTCTGAAGAAGTTATGAATGCACTGAATTGAATAAACTTACATTAACTTTCAAGAAAATAAAGAAACTGATCCAGTCAAACACTAAATACCGGTAATTAAAAGTACCGGTACCAGTAATAACTTACCAGCTTCTAACGCTTTCTTCGTCCAGCCAAACTCATGTACGTGAGGTAGTGAAGCTGACAAAATTTTCTGCTTTACTGAATGTTCGTGTTCAGCCTCATCTGTAGTATCTTGCGCTGTTTGATCATTTTCACTTTGTGTGCTGAATGTGTTTTGTAACACAAGGTGAATAAAAATGAAATACTTAAAAATAATTAAAATCAGACTCAAAAGTATAGGTGTAAGTTTTTCCAGGCAGCCACTGGGATGACACAACTGTTTAGTACCAGAATTGGATCATTAATCATTTTAATTATATTCACAGTTGATTTGATTTTCAGGTATTAGATTTAGTTTACCCTACCACTAGCTTAGCCTTTTAAATTATATTTTTTAGAAACTAACATACCATACCCGGTACTTCTTTATTTTATGTGTAACGGTAGTGAATAAGAAGTGTGTAGTTGTAAGGTACTGAGGAATTTCAGCCCTGAGCAAATCCATTTGTGGGGCCCTACAATTTTTTAAATTAAACTTTTAAATAATTGAATCCATTTTTTTTTTCTAATTTGAAAATAGTACCGGGTACAGTATTTGTGTTTTTATAGTTTACCTTTTATTAACCATGCTATATGTGAATAGAATTCTGTGATGCACTAATCTATATTTTGATTATTTCTATCCTCACCTTTGTTGCTGCTGAGTTCCAGATCCATTTTCCTCAATTGTTTTCCTGTGAGCTGATGTGATAATTGTTCGCCATATTTGACATGGGGCTTTAGTACTATTTCCTGAAAGTGTGGGGAAAATGTTCTTTATGATCATAGTCATAGTCTTTTTACTACCGGGTATAAGTTAATGGCAAGCAAATGGTACTTAGTAGACACAGACTATGTAATTATTTTTTGTGTACTGGGTAGAGAATTATGCCCTGTCAAGTTTAGGAACTCTATTCATTTAATTTCAGCTTTTTGATGCAAAATTATAAAAGAGGAAAAGTCAGAAACCAAGGGGTAGACTCATCCAGTACACCGATACAGATGGATGACATGAAGCAGTGATGTCTGACCTGCAGGAGCTGATTTTAAATGGCCCGCCACAGTTAAAGAAAGTTTTATGGTTGTAAAAAAAATAAATCATTTTACCTTTTTTATGGTGCGAAAAAACAACATTCATTGATTCAGCATGGACTGGGGAAATCGCATGAGAGCACAGGCAAAGTTATAACAAGGAAAAGGGGGAGGTCACAAAAGCTAAGGAGTGGGGTGGCTTGACAGGTAGCAGTCATTTATTTATTTATTTAGGCATTTTTATATAGCGCTTACCTTAAAGATCTAAGCGCTTTACAATTATTAAAAACATCTAAACTAACTACAATAAAAATGAGACATTAGGATAGTAACTACTATGCTATAGAAACAATTAAAATGGCTATAAAACGAGGACACTATGGCCTATATTACAGGATTAACCCGAGACAGAAAATGAGGCAGGGCAAGGAGGGTGCATCACAGGTCATAGGCGGACCTAAACAGATGGGTTTTAAGGGACTTTTTAAAAGTGGACGAGGTTTCACAATGACGGATATGGAAGGGGAGCTGGTTCATTTAAGTTAAGCTCATTAGCAGAGTGACCATTTTGGAACCTGGGTGACATGAAATCAGATACTATCTTCTCCTTCTTTGTTGCTTGCACAGGGAATGCATCGCAGGGTATTGGGTGTAATTACTAACAGCGTTGGGAAATCAAGAGTAACTTGATGTGTAGCTATTAGGTCATTTTAAAAAATTGTCCATACCTTCACCAGCGGGACCAATTTATAGGAAATAGGTGAGTACCGCCCGTTGACTACTGTGCTTTGCGGGATGATAATATGACAGGAAAGTCTTCGAGGCAGAGTAATCAAGATGGGAGATGGGGTACTGATGATATCACAATTGGAACACTATGGTTGGTAGTGTGAACCATTTATTATCTTGTTTTTTAAACAGGTAGTCTAGCCAGTTTTGTGAGAGCGTGCCGATCCTGCCTCGTTATGACATTGGGGACAAGTACCTGGTATTCAGAGATCTGATCATGAGCTGTTCAATGAATACACGCTGTGTTTGTTTGTAGTCAGTGCAATCAGTCAGGAAGAAATTGTGAGAAACAGTGGGAATGATTCTTTCTTGCAAGTATTTTTTTCTATCAACATGCATGGCCTAATAAATTCTGGATGACATCATCAGTCTTCTGATGAATTTCCACAACTATGGAAATCTTGTAACAAACTTTGACCATGATTTTGGAAGCACCTACATCAGTGAAGCTGGATTCTCTGTAAAAAACGTAACGCCTTGATTGAAAATCTACTGAGGGCAGGTGCGACTGAAAACTTCCTTGAATTCAGAAAATAACAAGTACAATTCAAAGAAAAATAAATCATTAAAAAAGGGCAACAGTTTTGATGCACTTTATTTACATTCTAGATAAGTCGATAATGCTATTGCAAATATAGCTCTTTATGCATTAGGCATATTAAGGTAAGAAATATTAATCCTGAACAATTTTATAAAAAGTTTTTTTTTAAATCTTCCTTTTGGGATGTCATGCGCGACCCTCGGATTTGCGGAAAAAATTTTTGTTGGCCCACATTCCATAGTGAGAAAGGTTGGACAGCACTGATGTGTTGTCTCATTTACATCAGCTGGGAGAAAAAGGCCATACCCGTATATCAGTCTGAATAGGAAAGATGGGGTTTAGCAGACCAGAGCCCTTCAGATTTTTAAGATTGTTCTTTAAGCTTTCAAGTCCTTCAGCCAGCATTTGAAGAGCTTTCCTTAACTAGCACAACCAATCTTAGCTTTGATTTATGCTGAAATGCATTGGTTCTCAAAGTAAAAGTGGCAGATACTGGTATGTTGTTATTTTCTGGTTATAGTTATATATAGCGAGTACCGGTACATACTTTTTTTTCAAGATAAAAAAAAAATGATTTAAGTTTGCATAAACTAAAAGTCTTCAATAGACATCAGTCAGGGTTAATAGTCTTAATAGAGCTTTTTTTTCAGAAATGAGTTAAGAGAAGAACAGAAGAATATTTCCTTTTGCTATTAATGAAAAGGGTCATTAGGCTCACACCAACATCCAGTTTGATGGAACATGGTTCTAGACTCCAGACTTCTGAACATTTTCATTCTAAAGTGACTTAAAACATGACACTGGGATAATAAACAATGCATCACTTCTCCAAACTAATGGTCCATTGCATTTAGAATAAGTATACAGTGATGAGACATTGGTTTCCTAAACACCTTGCTCAGTAATTATCCAGATTCAAGAAGCTCAAATATCTCTGAATTTAGTTTATCAGTTAACTTTGAAATACCGTACGGTAACTTTAAAGGAGGAGCTTCATTTGTATTTTAATTGAATTATTGAATACTGAGTATATCACAATATGTTATTCTTATACATTTTAGAGGGTCGTGCAAACTGCTTTTCTAATACAAATACAGGCAAGCTTGGGATGCCTTTTTAATACCGGTACCAAGTGCGGCAGTGGCAAGAAACAGTTTGAGAAACACTGCTAAGGAAATTAATTTTTTAAATCATAAATCTACAAGCATATATCTATTTAGCTTCCAGTCCAAACGGTATACGCCATCAGAAACATGTAGATTATAATTAACATGAATTTCACAAAAGAACAGTGGAATGTTCCTGGTATTTTGCATCCCCGTTAACCATGCCCGACACATGAGTTCAGAAATGCTAATGCATATTCTTCAACATTGTTACCAGCCATGAAACCAACCTTACTACAACTGCAGAAGAACATACTAATACTATTAATTACTATAGGCTTGTGGTTGGCAAACTCATTGCAATAGGCTATGGTGGCATCAAATATTTATAAAATACTGTCGAAAACTCAGGTTTCTGGACTCGATAGTCATCTGTTGTATCTGCAGAATTAGATCCCTTATTTAATCTTCACTCTCTAAATGAAGTACCGGTACCGTACAAAAACTTATGGTAAATAAATGTAGGTAAGGCAAATAGCTCACAATAAAGTGATATGCAGAAATGACTGACTCTGAATTGAAAACTGATTGGTACTTTAGTTAGTAGTCAAAACCATTTCCTTGATTTTTAAAAAGATTATTTTTTAACAGTGAAAGTGCACAAACTTTTGTGCTGGTGTTTTTCATTACTTCATAATTATTCTTTTTAATTAATTCTTCTTAATAATTAAATTTTTAGGATTTCTTACAACAGTTGAAATATCTAATGAAATAATTTGCAGATTGGTAAAAAAAAACAATTTACTACCGGTACTGTAGCTTACATTTACATTCAGAGGGGCAGCAGTGCACAAGCCTGATTTTCATTCATTAAAACTAAATCATGATTACTTTTTTTAATAAGTCACATGGTGTTTCATGTTTGCCTCTGGTGCACCACAGTCATTTTATTTGGACTAGATTCGTGAGCACTATATAAAAAGTTATGTTGATTCTTATCAAGGAAGTAACCACTATTATAGCGTATTATTATAGAGAAGACAACAAAATTGTCAGTTTTAATAACAATTGTATTTATATTAGCTGAATGATGAAGTGCCTAATAAGGGACTGAATGGACTTTAAGCTCAAATGACATATTTATATAAAAAAAAAGATAACACCTCAATTCAATAAAAAAAAAATGTTTAATCCTATGAACACATTTCATTAACATTTCAATTATGAAAAAAATTGAAATTGAAACTATACCACCCAGATCCCAAAAATATAAATATTTCATTGGTTTTATTGATCTCTATCTAAAAGCATCAGTGATGACACTTTCATCCATTCATACCACTTAACAAGCACAGTGGAGAGCTCATTAAAAGTTAATTTTGAAAAATTCTCTTAAACTACAATATCGTCCATCCATCCCTGTGGCGCTACAGCCCATATAGGGCTTTGGCATGCCTTACCACTTCCTTTCACTCAGACCCAATTAATCTTTTCTTTCCCATGCTTGGATTCCCAGCTGCTGTAGATCTTTTTCCACATCATCCATTCATCTAGGCTTAGCCTGCCTTTGAGCCATTTTCCTCTGGGGTTTTGGTGGTGCACCCTCTTCACTCCTCTGTCATTTGGCATTCTGCCTTTTTTTTATTTCTACTACTAGCGTGACATCCTGATATAGGCTATACATTTTGTTAGGGTCAAAGTTTCACTTGCTTGTTACAACTGATCTGATTACAGTTTTATAAAAAGTTTTCTTTGCTTTTCTTGTTTTTACTTTTGAGTATTACCGACTACTCAGTACTGAAATATGCCTCGTTTCCGGCAGATATTCTTTCTTTTATTTCCATTAGTAATTCATTTCTTTCATTTAATAAAGATCCTAGGTATTTGAACTGATTTACTTTTTCAAAAGTGTGGTTTCTAATTTTAATGGTTTCATATGTCTGTTCTTCTCTTAACATAGTCATGTAGTTTTTGTTTTGGTTTGTTAACTTCCAGCCCTGCTTGCTGTAGTGATGCGTTTTATAATTAAATAAAGGCTTTTGATATGTCTTTACTACTTTTCCCTAACAGTGCTATGTCATCAGTAAATGCAAGATACTGCAGGGATTGATTGTAGAGAGTGTCTATCTGTTGTGGGTATTGGGTCTCCCTCAAAAAGTATCTCATTATTGTTCCTTGGGTGTCAATATGCATGTTTCTTAAAACTATCTCTAATGTTAAGTTAAATAGCATACAAGACAGTGAGTCTCCTTGTCTTAGGTCTCGTAAAGTACAATATTGGCAACTACACTATAAATCTAAAACCCAGGTTTGTGGAACTAACATGACCAAAGAAAACAGAAAAATATTGCTCTTAAAATAATTCTATTTCAATTTCTGCTGTTCCAGTAACTGCAAATGAGACTATTGATAATATGTGAGTGTTTTATTTCTATTTAAATTTCTGCTGTTCCAATAACTCAGACACTCTACAGATAAGACTATTGATAATATGGTGAGTGTTCAATGCTTTCCCTATCAACTCAATCTTTTCCTTTTTAGACATTTCAGACATAGACATTCCACTGATACTTAATGACATCTCTGGACTGTTATTTTTGTTGGTGTTTGTTTCTCTCCCTTGGCATAAAGTGTCCAGCTCTAGTTCATAATGAGCTTTACTAAGGTCAAGGCCTCGTCTCAAGGGTGACAAAAAATCACTTTCAATTTCAATTTCAAAATTCCAAAACCCAGTGAGATTAGAGGGCTTGGCGTCAGCGATGACAAGAAACCGTAGCAGATTCAGCGCTGAAATGATTTGGTCTGAGTTTTCCAGCATGTCAGTGGTTTCTTTTTCTGGCAAATCCAAGGCTAACTTGAGAATTTTTTGAAGACGTTTTCCAACAAAGCATGTCTCAGATATATTACCAGTGGGGGCTTTGTTCAATGCTTGGTCCTGTCTGACCTTCTTCAAGCTCTCATCAATGTCATTCTTGAGGAACGTAATGAGGTAGCCCTTCATACCAGAATGTGAGCACGAGGAGAGAACGTTCTGGTAAATCTGATAGCGGCCACACGCATCAAACTTGCTGATGAACAGAGGAAAGATTTTTGTGGCCAAGGTCCTGTGATCTCGGACAGGGCAGTTTATCATAATAGAGATGATTTCATTGAGTAAAGCCATGTAGCCTTGGTTGTCCAGGTATTCTGATGAAATTGAATGCTTCAGCACCAAGGTGAGGAGCCTCTGACAAAGAAGCAAACCCTTGAAATTGATTGGGTAATAAGGGTTTTTGAGGAGACATATGATATCATCAAGATGAAACTCTAACGTGTAGTCATGCCTGTAAATAAAAGGAAATTTATCTATACCCAGCTGCTCCACATGGACGAGATAGACCAAACATGAACACGATAAGTTGGAGATGTCCATCTTAAAATCCCAGGTTTCCACTACACCAGTTACTTCATTGCCGGATTCGGAAGTTGGGTTCAACTTTTGCTCGTTCTCCTCATTGTCATATTCTTCTTCACTCTTTTTCTCAGGCAGTGTAATTTTATCAGGTTTTTTGGTCTGCAATTTAGCATATTGAAAGAGCTTGTGAAAATCTGTGACAACTTTAGACAGCAGCATCATTGCTAGCTCTGCACACAGTCGACTATCAGGCTTGACTTTGTCTGATTCAGGGTAGTATGTTAAGATTAGATGGCAAAGGGGATGATCAAAGACTCTTATAAGATGCTTCCTCAGAACCAAAGCTTCCTGTCTTCCGGCAGATTTCATCTGTCCGGGATGCATGTGAATTTTTTCTACAAAAGGCTGAAGGAACTCCAGATAAGACTGAAGAATATCAGCAAGACGAACAACTGTTTTATCCATGTGAAACAGTTTGATCTCTTCACCTTCAAGTTGAATGTTGTCAGGGACAGGAACAGTATCCAGGTGACAAGACACGGTCTCTAAAGTAGTATCCAAGGAATGAAAAAGCTTTGTCGTTATTTTCAATACCGTTGTCTGAATCAATGGAAGGAAACACTTAAACTTGGTGTCATCAATGAATCTGTCCATCTGTTCAAGTAGCGCCAACAAGATTTCTTTGGGATTACCCACTTTTATCAAATACTGCAGGCATCTGTTGCATACATCAAAAAAACCTGGATGGTTTTCAGCAGTTTCTGCATCAATGCTTCCTCCAATTTTTAAGATCAGATCCCAAAATATGCTCTCATCGTTAAGCTTGTGTTCCAGAATGAATTTTTTTAAAGAGTGAGAATCCTTCTGCTGAAGAGACTCAATAATTTGTGCAAGAACCTGTTGGGGATCATCAACTTTTTCAAACTCTGGAGGCTCAAGCCCTGCAGTTTCTGGTGCCCACATTATTATTTTACAATAATATTAGATGACAAAAATTATTTCAGTGTAGTGAAAAGAGAAACCAAACTTTCTTGATTCTGTCTTTTTAGTATGTTTCAAAACCTAAGGAGAAATAGAGAAAGTAAAAAAAAGATCATTTTATGATTGCTGTGAGAGGTGTTTTTTTATGTCAGAGAAATTACTCTGAACTTCCAGACAAAGCTGTTTCAACTAATACAAGTAATTCTATATTATTTGAAAGTCATAAAACCCAAATTTATTCTAAATGACCATTGAGTAACAATTTTAGGCACAAAACTTAGCAATCATAAATAAATCTTTTTTCCTCCTTTCTCATATGATAATAGCTTTCATATTTATGTTTTAATTATGATATTGTAACATCATACAGGTGCTCTGGGTAAGATTTTTTTGTGCATTTATATAATGTACATGATACAACAAGCATGCAAAATAATGTTTTCAAAGATTAGGCCAACTGTCTATTTATTTCAATGTTTAGCAAAAAATCTTTAATGACTTTACCATTTTAGTACCGGTAACTAATATTACTAATTATTTGGCTACAAAATTAAAAATACTATTAATAAGGTGAATAAAGTAATAAATATTAGTAGTCCTATTATTTGTATAGTTGAGATTTAGGCCTACACTGTTGATACATGCTGAGGATAGAAAAATAGACAGAAACATAGAGACAAGAGTGCAGAAGACAAACACAGCCTAAGCTACCAAATGGCCCTGTGAATAAGACACCCATGAATAAAGATGGAGGCAAAATCCTGGGAAATTACTATATAATACATTATACAATGCAAATATTTAGGGTAAAAATACTACTTAAATTTAAGGATTCTCATTTTATGCACACAACCAATTTTTTCATCTTCTGATAACACTTTATGCTTTAATTTTAAAATAATTTTTTTTTAAATTATAAATGCTCTCCCCTTCATTGCACACACATTATAACATGCTATTAACTTTTTACCTTAACAGATAAATCACAATGTTTGGATGAAAATAACTAAAAAATTTCTTTTAATTCTGAGTTTTACATCGATTAACAAATTTATTAAAATTGGATTCCATCAATTTTGATGTAATTATTGCTAATTCACTGTTGTTTATGCTAGCTCCAATAATACAGATTCCTTACTGTAAGAAAGTAAGTTACACAGTATTAAATTTAAATATTTGTATTCTCCTAAAATAGATATTGTCCGTCTTGACACAGTTATTGAGTTTACTGTTTAATAACCTTGTTTCACCTTTCTGGCGTAAAAAGTCATATTATTATTATGGACCAAGATTAACATTTACCTAGACATGGCTTTTTTAGAGGCATTATAAGTGGGTCGCATTACATGCGTTATGGGGTAGGATATGGTACTGTCTTTATTCCAACCCTTACTCGCCATTGCGAGACCTGGGCTCAGAATATACGTCTCTAGAAAAACTCTTAACCTGTGTGATATGGCACAGCTGGTAAAACTAGAAGGTATATGGAGCCACGATATGAGAGAAATCATTATTACCATACCTATCTGCCCTCGTATGGTCCAACAGCAAATTACCTGGTTGGGCTAACTGAGTCATACATATCGACCTGTACGATTTACCATAATTTGTATGGTTTTTATATGTTTGCAGAGTTGTATGGCCATACAGGCTATTGTATGGTTTTTCACTGGATTTAGAAAAAGATATTTTTGCAAAAGACATTTTGTTTAAAAACTAGCGGTGCAATAAATTCAGTGCTGGACAACAAGAAGCTTAAATCCTATTGGGCCGTTCAAAAAGACCAACTGAAGTAGGTCATCTAAATTTATAAACCGGCACAGTTTCATGGATATCATTCGTTTAATACTAAGATGATGTAGTATGGTAGTAAGTTATTAACTTCTTTGAGTAGTTAACAATAATTACAAATCCAGTTGTGTAATTCTTAACAAGACCTGCAGTATTAATTAGTGCTCTTTAAATTGATATTAAATAATGAAATATATTTAGTATAACTATCAATGACTAGTGTTAGTCATTAATCCTATTTATTTCTAGGGTATTGGCTTAATTTTACATGTTACGCTTTCCAAAATTAAAAGCGGGAATGATCTTCTTTGTTTAATAAGCATTCATTATTTAGAGCAGAAGTCAGCTAGAATTGTATGCTATTATATTCCTTTTGTATTTATTATTTTACTCCAGCTGGAACCTACCAATTAACACTTTATTTCCACACAGGGCATAGAGTAAAAATAAATTATAACCCTGGTACAATGAAAAATAAAGTTATATAAGTAGGGCTGTTAAAGGGCAACCAGCCTTAGGCTAAATACCCAGACCATTTCTTTGGTATCTGATTTAAATAAAGTTATATAAGTAGGGCTGTTAAAGGGCACCTGCCTTAGGCTAAATACCCAGACCATTGCCTTGGTATCTGATTTTAAGAAATTATTTTAAAAATAAAGCTATAAAATAGAATTTTGTTTTTTGACCCTCTACTGCGTTAGTCTACTATGCCTGACACAGCCATGTTAGTTGGATTGTCATGTTTGAATGTCCTTCAGGGACCTAGCAACTAAACTACCATACACTCATCTGCTAAAATTTACTGCTGTTCTCAAAAGAACAGTTTGTTATTTTAAAAAATGAATCTGAATGGTCTACCTTCTTTTCACAAAATTCACAAGAGTTCAAAGGTCAACATGTCTTTCCTAGCTCATAGTATAGTCATAATATACAGGAAAACAAATTAATTTTACTAGACTAGCAAGTTTAGATAATGAAACCATCTAACAGATTACAGATTGATGCAGAATTTATTGAAATTAATGTAGAAAGTAATATTGATGATCTTTTAGTAGAAGATATATCTGTTTTTCAAATTTTTGACAGCCCTAGTTATAAGGCTGGTAAATTCAATAACGTTGTCACAACAGAAAATTTATTTACTTTATTTAAATACAGGAATCTGTATTTCTACAGCTAGCATAATTAACAGAAATATATGCCTAATTACATATAAATTGCTATCAAATTCATCATCTGAGTCCATTTTCAATGAAATTCCTATTGACCAGCGTGTAAGACAACATTTTTTGACACAAATCGGACTTAAAACAAGCTATTTTCATTTGAAATTTAAATTATGCGATATACCCATTTACGAATGATGTTAACATGCTGTGCTAATATGTGTGAGCAGTGAATGGGTGATTATCACAAAAATAATGAAAAGTTATATATTATACTTTTTTCTACTTTTCATTTTTTTCCTGTACAGCACAGTACAGTTACAGCTTTTCATGCTGTTGCATAGGGACAGCTTTTAATGCTGTTGCATAGACAGTTTTTTAAAACTTTTGTACAGATTTTTTATTCCACGGGTTGGCATGTATGAATGACCTGGTCAAAATGCCTGTCACTGACATCACTGAGTGTAAAATAACCTGCACTGCAAGCCCACAATAGCAGGCTAAGCAGGCACTGTCATTTCAGAGCCAGAGAAAGACCACACTGGCTGTAAATATTAAATTAACTGAGTGTAAGATATCCTCAAATTCTTTTTGAACAGCATGAAACTTAGGCAGACCTCATATCTTGCGCTGTAGATCAGCAACTACATCTACCTACAACTACATCACTTTCTCAGGAGAAGCAGACAGAAGAAGATGCACATAAATGATCAACATGACTATGACTGACTCAGTTACTGACTTTGTTTTAATGAAATTTTTACTTTCAGAAGTTTAGTTTTTACTGAACAACAGTTACTAAGCCCCAAAGACTAAGTTAGATCTAGACTTTCAAATTTTTTAGTACTAGGCCTAGGAAATGAGTAAAAGAAAGTAAGGTAAAACCTGAAAAAACTACGAACGCGTCAGCAGTAAGCTTTCATCAGCCAACAAACAACAGAAATAATTATAAAACAGATCACAGCCTCTCCCGCTCCCTTTACTTAAGGCAAGATCCAAGTTAGAAGTTAGATTATATTAATTATAATTATAAATACTATTGTATTGTTTATTTTCGATTCTGACAGAATTGTTGTACAAGACAAGGCAGCAAGATTGGGTGAGTGATTGAGTACCGGTAGGCAAGACAAAAGTTAAAAAACTAAATTTCAAGTCAATATTGTCATATTGTTTATTATTATTTTATTATTATTGTTATTGTCTATTGTCAGAAAACTATTGTCAACATTTTTACTATTTTTAATAAAAGTAGGTCTATTTTAATATAACTACAATATATTATTTACATTACAAACCCTAACCTAATTGCAAGCACATGTCAATGATCATTGTATACCACTTACCTGATATGGAAATAAAATGTGTGGCAAGGACGCGAACGAAATTTCGTGTTGAGTAACAGGACGCAGCCATTTTAAATATTTCACAGATCATAGTCCATACGACATTCATTTACATTTTACAAGAGAGCTACATAATTTTATAATCACATATCAGGCCTCATATTATATATTAAAAACATATTTTAAAACTATTTTTTTCTTCAAAAATTTAACAAATTAAAAATGTTTTGTAACTTTCAGAATGCTTATCTTTAAAATAAATTACGTCAATAATTTTCACTGCAGATTTGTTCGCTGCGCACCGCGAAACTACATTGTTTGAAAATGGCGATATACGAGATATTTTCTCACCCTGAGTTACGGCGTTATAAGACCTCGATTTTTTCTAAAGCGACACTTTTGATGTTTATTATACTTTTAATAACATTCATACCTCCATTGATAATTGTTTATAGAAGCTATGGTTAGTTATTACATAGTTAATTTGTGTTAATTAAAAATGAAAGAATGATTTGAACAAAAATAATTCGACGTGTTCATTCTTGCAGTTCAGTTCTAATTTGAGTGAATTTACTTAGATGGTTTTGAGAATAATTTTTCATAATTTAATTACACTGCTGGATGTTATTAGTAGGGTGCCGGGTAAACTGAATTAAATTCCAAGCGTGTGGACTGGAGCTCAATGCCCAACAAAAGCCTATGAAGCAAAAACATCCCCAGCACTCTGGGTGATGATGATTGAGTACTTTCAGTATAGCAATTGTTTCCATGCTATTTTAGCATGCTCACAGCGCTCTGATATCCTAAAATATATTTAAAGAAAAAAATAACATCATAAAAATGCTTGCATTATTATAATGCTTATTATCTTACTTGCAGACATAGGATAAGTATTCAGTTTTATTAATTATAAACTGTTCAACATTTTTCTGGTCCTTCTCTTTGCTCAGGATTTTGGCTGCGAGAAGGAACTTATAGAGAGCAACCTAATATAGCCTTTAAGAAAGAGTTTATATTGCAACTTGACCTTCAAAATGGAGGAAATCCTGTTGTATACAGCACTTTCCAGCTGTACAACCAGCTTTTACAATCTCAACTTCGCATTCCTATTGTTAAGGTAAATAGCAAATTAATGGAATTATATATCTTTATGTGAATGTTATCACTCTCAGGTTCTTATAACCAAAGACAAGATGCAGCCATTGCAGTACCGGTAGTTGAATAAATCTTTAGGAAATTTTAAAAAAAATGTCTAGACCTTTTCTCTTTATCATTTTTTTTTCTTCTGTCTGACTTATTTCTCTAAAAAAAATGCAATAGAAACTGGTGATATTTATTCAGTAGGCTTACATGTGAAGGATTATTGTGATTTTTTTTTCCTGACCTTTCTTTAGAGCTACAAATTGCTTCTTCAATCCCTTTTACTGTTACTTATTTAAAAAATATAGTTTCATGTGTCATCTTTTTCTGATGATTAAACAAAGCATTGAGTTAGCCAACAGATTCATTGTAATGTTTCAATTATCTTAATTCAAGCTGCATTATACCTTGTGTTTGATATACCTGGTATATACTTATTTACAGTTTCATTTAAGTTTCCCTTATTATATCTTGACTAGAAATAATCCGCCAAACAATGGCGGCGGGAATGCATAAACTTCCCATGTACTAAAGGTACTTGACAAAACACTCATTCAAGTAACGCTTTATTTAAGACACATTATAAGAATCCCATTTAGTCTGGGAATTTTATTTAGTGCACCTATTGAATACAGTGTTACAGCCATACATAAGTACCCAGAGAATTATTATTTGTGATATTTAGTCCTATTTAATACCAATAGGCAAGGGAAGAGGATCTCAATGGAGATGGTAAATATGATCGTCTGAATCTAGACATTGAAGTACCTATGAATGGAGAAGACCAGGTGGTTGGAGCCAAGCTTCTTTTGTTCTTCTATTACAAGCTCAGGGTAATTTATAAGATTATGTGTAGAATTAGCAACTAGTTTTTATCCGAACATGCATAAAATCCTGTTAAAAATGCAATCTAAGAGTTGATGTTTAGTCATTGTTTGTATTGTATACATTTAATTATATTATATATAGAAATTATGGATCAAGCATATGGGTGTTGGCATATATTTTAATGTCAATTTTAGTATTTTTAGTCAAGGCTATCCTACAGTGGTGTTTACAGACATACATATAATTCATAGATGGAGAATTACATGTTTTGATATATTTACTAAATAAGAAATGCAGGAAGGTTACTACAATGATAAATTATATTTGTTATGGTGCACCCATTAGAAAAAGATTGAAAACTACTGCTTTCTAGTATAATAAATGTAAATTTTTCTAATTCTTGAGCTTTAAATTTTATCTGCGTTTTATTTTTTGTTCCTTGCTTTACAATATGATTTCTCAAAAAAAAATGTTGCACTTATACAAAAAAAATAGACTAATTTCTAAAATATTAACTAGATTATAACCGAAATCTCACTCTTGTTATGCAGTTATATAAAAAAGAAAGAGATATCTATTACTGTTATTTAGAATAAAATTTTTTTATATATCAACAGAAATTTTCACAGTTTCACATGGAGTCTCTTGGATTCATTGAATATGTGTCTCCCATTCCTGGCGCTAGCTTACATGTTTTTAGCGATCTGAGGCTGAGACAAAAACAGTTGCTTGGCCATAAGGGGACAGATGTTAGGTTTAATGTAAGTAAATAGAAACATTACATACTTCAAGCTATTTGTTTTAAAAGAATTTGTCATTTAATTTATTACTTTTTTTTCTTTTGATGGCATTTACATTTTATTAATATCTATCACAATTTATATTTTTAATAGGCTTCTTTGATAAATCCTACTAGCCCATATGCTGCTGCTTACTCCTTTGCGACTGTATTCAAAAGTTACACAGACCGAAATGGTAAGCAAGATGTAGACGTGAGAAAATTTTAATTATTCTACTCTGTTACTTTACTTTGTTTTCAAAGCTTGATTAATGAGTTTGAGTTTTTTTTCAAAGTATAATAGTATTATTAAATGAAAGGTCTTTTAAACAAATATTTTATATTTTCACCCTGAATGGCTTTATGCCCTTGGTTGATGTCAACAAAATTTTAAAAGACTGGATTAAAAAAAATGAATATTTTCTTTAATTATTTTTGTCTGCTTTCAAAATTTTAGTCACTACTGTGTTACAAGATGCCAATAAAATTTGGACTTCAGGACGTGCTGCTAATTCTCCTTTCATAATCTCAGCTGTCATCAACTATCCAGAAGAGGTCATTTAGTATCCTTTTCATTATTTTTTGTTAACATTTGTTTTTATAAAAGACTGTGGAGTCCGGGTCCTCAAACTTTTCAAACACTGTCAAAAAAACAAGAACCATTTTAATCAACATAAACTTATCAGTATTTCTAGGGAAAGTATGGGCCTGCTTTAGGCTAATGAGATGGACAATATCAGGTTCCATATTTGTCTCTAAACTGCCGGATCAGGCCCATCCTTCACAATGTGATGATGGTGAAGACTTCACAGGACAAAATCACAGGGCCTAGGATTTTTTTTTAGGAGGATAATCTGGTTCCCTAGATAGCAAATCACCTCTCTCCATGCACCTGGATAACCCAAGAGAACATCATTTGTGGATGATACAGCTTGGCACAAGTAGCATCACAGAGTTTTCAGACTTTTCATTGAGTCAATGTCAAACCACCTATAGGACTCCATCTGCAGATTTAGATTCAGAGCCTTCCTTCTCATGGATGTTAAACTCGTCAGAGCCTTCCTTCTCATGGATGTTAAACTTGTGCCATCCACTCAGGGTTGCTAGGCTTTTGCTGGGGATTGAGTTCCAGATCATGTTAACATCATTGGCAACAAAAAAGCAAGCACACTGGCAAAAACCGGGAATGCCCAACCTCAGCCAGATGTATCAGTGACTTATCTGGGAATTAAAAACTGGATGGCGGACCATTTTAGAACAAAACGGTACAAGCAGTGGGCAGACAACATGACAGCCAACTCCTAGCAGACAAGACCCATCTTGGGGTTAGGTCGCAGGCAGCAGAGTCTAGTGATACAGATGCATACCGAGCACTGACCCATCAGCACATATTTTAATAGGCTAGATTATAACAGGAACCCTACCTGTCGACATTGCTGCCTGGTCCCAGAAACACTAGCACATCTGTAGACCAAATTTCCCTCACTAGATGTTTCGGGGAGGCCATGGTGACGGGAGAGCCAGACGTGAGGAGAATGTTATATGGCTCAGCTCAGCAGATGGAGCTGGTAGCCAATGTACTAGCCAGGGTCCTAAGAGAGTAATCTCAGACCTTCACCAGATAATGTGTGTTCACAAGCTTGGAACTGTCTCAGTTTAGACTGCACAGCCCCTAATGACAATTTTGTAAAAAAGATAAGCCTCCATATTTTTATCAGAGAAGATATCAGTACTTTTTATTACACCACTCTCAAAGATATATTTATTATGTTCTTTTCATGCATTCTTTAGAGAAGAGATTAGTACTTTTAATGACAACCCTCCCATAGATATATTTAAAATGTTGTCTTTCTCATGTATTGTACAGAAACAATGTCACCACTTCTAATTACAACCCTCCCACAGATATATTTAAAATGTTGTCTTTCTCATGTATTCTACAGAAACAATGCCATCACTTCTAATTACAACCCTCCCACAGATATATTTGATGAATGAAAGAAATAAGTCATGAGATGTTTTAAATTAGTGTACCATGTTATGACCACTAATTTTATGTTAGTTATGCTGATAGTCATAATGCCCAGACAAGTTCACAAACATCATCCGTCAGCTGCATGATGGTATGATGGCCCGAGTACAGGACAACGGTCAATCATCTCCAGCATTCCCCGTCACAAACGGTGTAAAACAGGGTTGTGGTCTTGCTCCCACACTCTTCAGTGCTATGTATTCCGCAATGCTGTCTGATGCGTTCAAGGACTCCACCATGGGCTTGCCAATCCGGTTTCGTACTGATGGATCATTATTTAACCTAAGGAGGCTTCAAGCTAAAACCAAGGTCAAACATACCACGATCAACGAGCTTCTGTTTGCAGACGATTGTGCCCTTAATGCTCCATCAGAAGCCGTCATGCAACACAGCGTTGATATCTTCTCAGAGGCCTGCAATAACTTTGGCCTCACAATCAACACAAAGAAGTCTGAGGTGATGTATCAGCCAGCTCCCAGTAAGCCCTACGTTGAACCCAACATCATCATCAGTGGACAGCGTCTCAACCCGGTGGATAAATTTACCTACTTGGGCAGCACCCTCTCTAGATCTGTCGTCATGGATGATGAAATGAATGGCAGACTCGCAAAAGCTAGTGCCCTATTTGGCAGGCTCCGCAGCACTGTTTGGGATAGGAGAGGTATCATTAGAGAAACAAAGCTCAAGATCTATAGCGCAGCAGTCCTCCCGACACTGCTTTATGGATGTGAAACATGGACTGTCTACCAGCGTCACGCCAAGAAACTGAATCATTTTCACACTACCTGCCTCAGGAAACTCCTCGACATCAGGTGGCAAGACTAAGTCCCCGACACCAAGGTCCTCGCTAGAGGGAACCTACCTAGTATCTTCACCACTCTGATGCAGTCTCAGCTCCGTTGGATGGGACACGTAGCCCGTATGGCAGACCACCGGCTCCCGAAACAAATATTCTTTGGAGAATTCACGATAGGCAAGCGCTCCCAAGGAGGCCAAAGAAAGCGTTACAAAGACTCACTGAAAGTGGCACTAAAGGCCTTCAGCATAAACCCTACTCAATGGGTGCAGACAGCCCAGGACAGAGCCAGATGGAGAGCTGCTGTCAAGAAGGGGGCTAAATCCCATGAAGCTAAGAGAATAACCACAGCTGAGACACGCAGGCTTGTCCGAAAGAGCAACATTAGGTCATCGTCTGAAAAGGGGGCTAAATCCCATGAAGCTAAGAGAATAACCACAGCTGAGACACGCAGGCTTGTCCGAAAGAGCAACATTAGGTCATCGTCTGAAGCAACTATTCCATGCCCACGGTGTCATAGATTATTCCGAGCAAGGATCGGTCTAACAAGCCACCTAAGAGCTCACCGTAATCCCAACCCCCCCCCCCCGCCCGCCCCTAACCGGATGATTCGATGGTCCTTGTCGACTTCGACGGACGAACAACATTATTACATAATACTTCTCAGAGATTTTTGTTTGATTTAAAAAGATTTTAAGTGATAATGAAAGACATTTTTCTAATAACGTAATGGTATTCAAATAATATGCATCTCTTTGGAACATGACCCTCATTGTGTCTGATGAACATATTTTTATACTATGTTATATCAAACCTACCTCCATGTAAAACTGAGTTCCTTAACAGAAAATCAGTTACACACCAGGCTTCTGGAACCTCATCAAGTGGGGCTGGGTGCAGTATGTGTCGGTGCTGCTTATATTCCTCTACATATTCAACAAGGTCAAGATCTTCATCTTCCAGCACCAGGTCGTCACAACAGTTGTTGAAAGTGCAGCGCTAGAGCATGTGGGACGCAAGGATAAGTTTTCATGAATAAAATCATGTGTTGCATGAGTGCTTAGTCCTTGAACAGGTTGAGTGATTCTATTGCTGTTTTTTTTGTTTTTTTTTTTTTTATTTGCCTCCCAACAAAGTTACAGAATATGATTTTTAAATCCATTTCTTTTCTTTTTTAAAGTGAAAAGAGTTATAAAATTTGTTTCTCAAACTTTACGATAAAATTCTATGTCCAAAGGGGTTTCTTTTTGTCTTCATCTAATGGAATTTTGTTTATTCAAATCAACACTCCACGGGATGGTTGGATGCTAAAGGGTTTAGCATGGTTACCCAACTATTATTACTTTTAAGGTACCTTCTTACACTGATCCTCTATTTAAAATTATTAACGGATCCAATGGTTATCTACCCAAAGTGTAAATTAACATTACTGCTCATCAAACTTTCCCCACCTCAACTTAAACCGGTTGAAACTAGCCGAAACACTTTTTGAGACCCAAATAAACATGTCATTATTTTTTCATAGGCATCAATTTATATACTTTACAAATCATCACTTTCCAATTTTATATTAACAACAGGCTAACAATATTAAATTGCACACTTCACAAAGTAAACATAGTTCATTCAGGTAAAAAAATGTCAACAAAAAATAACTAGAGAGGCTCTCTACAGCCAAAACAGTAAAAGAGGATGAATATGGCCAGTGCCAGTATTTTATCAGGGTGTCTTAGGGATGCTCTCCCAACTGGGGGTTGGTTCACCTTGATCAAATCTGCTCGTATGTGCAGCTTAATGATGCTACTCTATGATTGAATGTACAAGAAATCAAATACTTTTTTTTCTGTACGATCATTCAAGGAAATACATTGTCACTGTCTGTCACTTAACATCATTCCAAACATTTCTACAATTTGTTCATATTATGTCTGCATGCCTGGGGTTAATATTTTAGTTATTTTTTGTTACTGAACAATGTATGACAGATGTTTGACTTTAATACTAATGTGGTCAATTATTCAATGAACTATCATTAAATTATTTATGTGCTGATATTAAGTATATGCAAATGTCTTTTTTTTCCCCCTAAAATATTGGTGCATACCATTCATGGGTGTCTAATTGTGTAACATTACCATGATCAATTTATGGGGCTAACCTCTGATGCATAGTGGATAGCTAATCAGATGAACTCTAATAACACGCTCTGTAGTGGAGAGGTTTGTTGCTTGTAAATGATTAAAGTTTTTCTCCTCATCTGCTGTGATGTGCCATTGTATCAACAGTCCACATGCTGACTTAATTAACATCTGAAGAAAGCCAAATCACTCCCTTGGGTCATGTTGTTTATTTTATGGTCATGGTACTTAGCATTGTCATTTTATGCAGATATTCATGTATTTTGTTCCACTTTCAACCATTGTAACCATTCTCCTGAAATGTACGACATTTAGACCAACTAATTGTTCCATTTCTTTAGCAGTTAGAATGAGGGAAATAAGTAGAGTACTTCTTCTCATCTGGTTCTGTGCAAGTTGCAACAAACATGTTTGTATCCGTTCAACACATCGGATACTGAAGTTTGTTTACAATGATGGAAATATTAACTGGTTGTTTCTAGCAAGTCCACCATTCCATGATTACAAGAGATGTAAATATTTGTATCATAAAACATGTTTTATTAACAGGTCTTAGTCGCCATTGCTATTATAACAATAGAATGGAAGGAAGAATTTCAGAGCAAATCGATCAATCATACTTTAGTATATTTATTTTAATTAAAATATTTTCACATAATGAACAAGTCCGTCCAAATATGTGATCAAACCATAATGGCAAATGATCTGAACATGATTTTATTTGTACATGTATTCAACAATCCATTTAAATCATCAATTAAATAAAGAAATACACTTTTCTTGTTTTTGTGTGGGTTGGTTTTTTTTTTGGTTTTTTTTTTAACCATTTTTTTTTTAGATAATTTTGGTATTGAGAGTTAAACACTTTAAAATGCTGAGGTGAGAACTGATAAAACTGTTGGTAGAAAATTCATTGAGTGACATCAGGCTTTTTTATTTCAGTGTAGACGGCAAGCCATACTGGTACATGAGGAAATAATATGTCATCAGAGGACTTGCTGTATGCCAGGAGACTTGCACAATTTGTTGCCAACTTTCCATGAAGAGAAGGATGCCAACTGTATAAATGATGAGTGCCTGTGTGTTGGGGTGATGCCCTAGTGAGATTTGTCCACGGGGACATTTAAGAAATCCACGGATTACTTCCGTTTCTAACAATAAGCACTTTTTGAGCCACATTGAGACCTTCAAAAACATACATTTTTATTCATTTATTCAAATTTATGTTGTTTACTGAAGAAGGCATCTTGCCGAAACGTCCATTTAATCGTCTTGTCTTTGATTTTTAAGCCTTAGCCTATCTTGGTTCACTATTTTATTTGACATGGCTTGAATGCAGTCCCTCATATTATCCTTTAATCTACTGATTGTAACCTGTGGGTGGCGACCCCTTTGGGGGTCGAACGACCCTTTTACATGGGTCACCTAAGACCATCGGAAAACATATATGCTCTACAGTTATGAAGTTGTAGTAGTAATGAACATAGTTTTATGGTTGGGGGTCGCCACAACATGAGGAACTGTATTAAAGGGTCGCGGCATTAGGAAGGTTGAGAACCACTGCACAATACACATTAAGCAAATTGCTATGGTAGCCTACGACAGGCATAACAATTTTGTTTTTTTTAAATAACATTTACACCTGCATAAGGATTAATTTTTTATCCGAAATATTTCAATGAGGTAATGAGGGGTTAGAATACTTAGAATTGAACAGTTTATGAAAACACAAATAATTATAGAAATCTGGCCTGCGCTCATTTCTCCCCGGCTATCCTGCAGACTTCGATGGTATGCTTGTGTAGATATCTCTTCTGTGAGAAGCTGCGCCCACATTTTGTACAAGGATAATTTCTGGCAGCAACCGAGTGGATTAACATGTGTGAGCGCAGGTTAGAGCGATCAGCGAATGCTTTCCCGCAGTTGGGATGGGAGCAGAGGTACGGCCGCTCCCCCGTGTGGGTCCGCATGTGACCCTTCAGGAGCCAAGACCTCGTGAACAGTCGGCAGCACAGCGGGCACATGTTGTCACTCTTTGAGCCCTTCGTACAGGAAGCAGACACAGTGAGCGACGTGGCCGAGGCCGCGTCTAAACCGCCGGAGACATTGTCACCACCCAATGCCGCGGCGCTGAAGCATTTCCGTTTCCGCCCCCTCTTCCTTGCCGTGTGTTGAACTTGCTGCTGTGCACTTTCGGATAGTGTTGTGTGCAGTTGATGATTTCCACTATCAGCCTGAGGATGGCTGTAGTCAGTCTTGTTAGCTGGATTCGCCTCATTACAAAAGCTGTGTGAAGCTTTGGACGGGGCGATCTTCTCGTACTTACGATCTTTGCAGAACATGTTGGTATCCGTTTTGACGTTCGGCTCGTGCGTTTGCCGAGCTTGATTAGCGACATCAGGTTTGGTTGACGATGTTGAGCGTCCTGCCGCTTGAGACGATCTCGCCGCCTGGGGAAACATCAGTTCTGTTGCCATGAGCCTGGAGGCTAAGTTTGCGTGAGGTTCGTTGTGAGAACTCACAGCCGGTGCGTTGGCCACGTTGCTGAGCAGATCGGACGCTGGCGTGGGGAAGATTTGACCTCTGTTGAAAAGATGAAAATTGTGCGCGCCGCCGCTCAAGGCGTGCAAGCCCGACAAAGGGATACCGCCCTGGGCGTAGAACTGTGCCGCCGGTTTTTGGCTGTTAAACTGTCCGAATGCAGAGGTGCTCACTTCACTACCCCCGAGGGATACCAGGGGGCTACTGACAAATGCCAGCTGCAAGTTTATGCTGTATCTTAGGTCAGTGGTGGTAATCTGTGGACTGTTCTGAACGTTCATCGTCTGCCCACGCAGAGCTGTATAATCAAAGCAAATGTTGGGGGAAAGGAAAAAACTGTTTGCCACTTTGTGTTGAAATGGTTCAGCAGAGTGTTGAGACACAAAGATGTTATTTACACTCTGGGCCATTGCCGGCGTCTCAAGTACAAGTGTGTTGTTGCTTTGCTCAGAACGCGGATGCGAGTTCGAGTTTTCATTTTCAAGCCTGGAAGCCGTTTCTTGTAGCGGAGCACCGTATGCCGATGCCTCGGAAGATATGTTGACCGGGACATCCTGGACATGTCGGAAAAGATGAGCCATGCTGCCCAACCTAAAACCTGCCTCGGAGATTCTATTTAAAGTTCTGTCCGGATCGGGGAGGGACTCGAACACCTGGAGACCGCGGCTTGAACACAAATGTGCTTTACGTTGATCGAATTCACGCTGAAGGGCCTGTCGTGATGGCAACACGCTGAGCTCTTCGGAGTCAGAGGTCTTTGATTTTGACCCGTTAACCCTGTCTGCAGTATTGTTTGTCGTCTCAGTGTACGAAGGTGTGGAGACACAGGACTGATCTTGCGCGCTGTTGGTGCTGTGAGTTTTGGACCGGTCGTCAAAATGTATCGGACGCAAATCTCTTTCTGTAAAATGTACAGCGTTGTTCCTGTTGAGATGAGCAGCTACGGTCGCCGTGTCTGGCCCTGCAGCGGGTCCTCTTTGGGCTCGAAACCCTCGACCAGATTCCGGCACAGGGATTTGGTTTTCTTTATTATTAGTATCCATGGCGTGGAGGGGTGCAGCCGAGACGAAAACAGGAGTGTTGTTTCCAAATGTTGCAACGCGCAGCTGTCCTAAGACGCCGTTAAAAGCCAGAGCATTGCCACTTGGCGGTACGACTTTCTGGGCTTTGAGTTTTGCATCCTTCAACGATTGCTCGGCATTGTTTTGCTGGTTCCGTGTCCCGTTCTCGTCAAAACAGGACTGCGGGGCTGTCTCCGTATTTCTAGGGGCAGGATGCATCAGGTTAAAATGTGAATTTTTTGTACTGAAAACGAACATATTGGCAGGCGTATTTATATTTGTGAATGGGTTACCCAGCGACATATTACCGACCATTGGATTTTTGAAAATTGCGCTGTCCTTTTTATCGAGGCTCGTTTTAGGCATACAGGAACCGAATGCAGCCGTATCGTTATTAGTGACCGTTTTTAAGGGCGTTGGGTTTGAATTGTTCCTGCTCATTGAATGCTCTCGTTTGCTAGAAGCCCTGTCATGTTTCGATACCACTTCCGCTTCGTTGCCGCCCGATTGCCTTGAAGCGTCTTTTGGGGAACTCTTTAGGATTTGGCAGAGCTTCTGGAACTTCAGATCCTCGGGACTGCCTTCTGTGTTTGTTATATCTTTGAGTGCCACCCTCTCACTTTGATGAGACTGCCGGTTTGAAGAGTTCGTTTCATCTAGTAACGCCCTTGCAGTCAACGTCTGCGAAACTTTGTTTTGCAATTTTCCCAAAGTCGACGCAGCCGTGATTGACAATTTGCCGCCATTCGGATTAAAGTTGAGATCGTGACAAGTGTCACGGCGGTGGAGCTGTTGGGTGGATTGTATACTGTTGAGATTTTCATCACTCAGGTCCACGCGAACGGTCTGAAGCTGGGAAGTATCCGTTTTAACCTCAATGCACCCCCTCGTGTCACGGTCTTGTGCAGGCGAGCCCAACTCACCGGGCTGCGTTGAAGGACACGTTTCATCACTCTGGCCCGCGTCGCCACAAAGAGCGGCGTAACCGGATGTGACCTTATTGGTCTTAGACGGGCCATCCATAGGTGAACTGATTGTCTTTCTTGTTCTTTTACCAGTTCTGACCTCCCGAAGTCTCACCCCGGTCGCAGAACTGTTTTCTCGCTTTGCGATGCGCCTCACGCGAGTCAGTGTGGATGTATTGACCTTTGGATGGTCTGCTTTTGAACGATTTTTACGATTGGGATAAACGCCAGCTGTTTTAGTTTGTGGGAAATCGTTTAGAACCGGATCTGTAACATGAAATACAAAAATTAAACCGTTGAACATATTTTGTTTTAAACAACATGATCATTATTACTGGATAATCGAACCGTTTGACAGCGGTATGCGTGACAGATGAACTCAGGTCAATAGTTAAATACATTTTTTTGTGTGGAAGTGAGGGGAGGGGAGCTATTATATGAAGCAATAATGAGCCACGGATATGTGCAGGACTGTCTGTTGGACTACTGTTTTAAAAGGCCCGAAGGTTGGGTGTAGGATTGTAGGTAGGCCTATCGTTTATAGGCCAGTAGGTATGGTGTAGGACAGTCATTAGACCTATTGTTTAAAGACCCGAAGGTAGGGTGTAGAACTGACTGTAGGCCTATTGTTTAAAGACCCGAAGGTAGGGTGTAGAACTGACTGTAGGCCTATTGTTTAAAGACCCGAAGGTAGGGTGTAGAACTGACTGTATGCCTATTGTTTAAAGGCCCGAAGGTAGGGTGTAGAACTGACTGTATGCCTATTGTTTAAAGGCGGGCATATACTATAGAAAATATAAAAGTTAATTTTTTTTTTTGGGGGGGGGGGGGGAATATTTGGGGCCAACGGGGTTTTTTTCAAAATACCCGGACCCG